AAATCAGCATTTGCAAATTTGGCTTTTTTTTATCTGGATTCCAATAACAATCTGACATGACATACGTGTGTCACGGAAAGGAGTTATTATCGTAACGGCATTTTTAGAATAAATTAATCAAACACATACATGGATTTTATATATGTTTATATATAGATCTAGGTATAACATAGCGTAGAAAAGGAGAGAAAAACATTCTTCAATGAACTACTGACCTCATTCTGTGAGTGTGAAAGTGATCGAAGCGGACCTCTACGTTTATTCTTCAGTGGTATCAGCAATTTACTGCATATATTTTTTATTTCTATTTTTATACACTTATTGGTGTGTATGTGGCTGAGGCTTTTGGAAAGCACTTGGACGACCACAAGAAAAATTAAATAAAAAGCTTAATCGCAGTATCTTGTCACTCGTCTTTAACGAAACTTGTACACACACACAATTTATATATATATATATATATATATATATATATATATATATAGGATATATATATAAATACTTTTACTTTTATAAACTTTGGAGGCGGGTTCTTCAAACCAAAACAAGAGTCCATATAAATATATGTTTGCAAATCCTTCATTTTTGAGTTACCCCCCCTCCCCGAAAAAAAAACAAAACTGTAAAAGTATTTTTGATATACCCTGTATATATTAGGGTTATTACTTTTTTTGTAACCCTATGTTCATGTGTCATAAATCGACGAACTTTTGTTCAAAAGTAATGAAAAAGATATTAGTTTGTTTTTGTTCTTGAAAAAAGTCGCCTCCAAACCGAATTTTCAGTTTTACCATATACGCAATAATGGCAAAAAATCAAAATATTTCAAAACCTTTATATTTCATTTTGCTGAAGATGTAATTGGATAATACATATGCATTTTCTAATGCATTTAACAGTTCATATCTATAGCATAACATACAACTTTACAAATAAACAAAAATTGCAACCATGCAGTAGCTTTATTTTTCAATTTGCTAATGATGTAATTGGATATGATTTATATATTTTTAAACGCATTTCCCAGTTTATAGTTATAACATAACACACACACTTACAAATAAACAAAAACAAGTTCTAGAAGATTCCATAAAGTTCTAGAGGGTATCAGAAAATTCGAGAAGGGCTCAGAAAGTCGTAGTACTACTTTTAGTAATTTCGTGTTAGGGGTGGAATTTTTTTAAGAAAAATAAAGTGAATTACACCGTTCTTCATTATTTTTTAACAAAATTTTATCGAATTATGATGCAAAAAATCAAATATTTTACAAAAAGTCAAAAAGTCATATTTCTAGTATACAGGACGCGATGGTTAAATTGTCGTTTAAATTTCGCAAAAGTGAAAATAACCCTGACATTTAATTTTGACAGCTATATTTACCAAAATGACACAAAAATAACTTGAAATACTAAAGGGTAAATTTATTCAATAAAATCGCCATTGGCTTCATTCACGGCCTCAAGATGACTTCGGAATCTCTTGCAACTCTTATGGACAGTCTTCTTGTTTAATTTGCTGAATGTTGCTATAACCCTTGCATTCAGTGGTGTTACAAAAAGTTTTGTTGATCTCTCGTTCAACTATGTCCCACACATAATAATCAAGGGGGTTCCAGTTTGGGGAGTTAGGTGGCCAGATGTAAGGTGTGATGTAGTCGCAGAAATTTGACAGCCGTGACTGGGTTCACCTGCTTGTATGACATGGTGCCGAGTTCTGTTGCCAGGCATAAGGTCTTCTAGTAGCCACCCTCTTGACACAGGACAGTTCTACTTCCTCAGGGCCCTATGTAGGCCTCCGTGTTGAGTCTAAGGCCCTGTGGGAAGATGAATGGAGGCATAAGGTCATCATCACTAGTGATTACTCCAAACACCTTCGTAATCGCCATTAGACTCATCCAACACTTTCCGAATGGTCTGCACTGTCCTGTCATTGGATTGACACCCAGACACTCTGAAATATTATTATATAATTTATATTTATATATTTGACATCTCAGTTTCAATTACGGCCCACCATCGTAACGTAACTTCCCTGTGACTTTTCTATAAATATTTCCGTAGAAATTGTGACTTTTCTATAAATATTTTCATAGCAATTGGTACCTCGACTTCATGAATTTAAGAGTAGTACTAGATTGGCTGATAGGTCTCATTAATTTACCGTAATAATTGCTAAATAGCGAAAATGTCGATTTCCAAGCACAAGTCGAAAGTTGTAGAATAGAGTGAAGCACGTGGCGACAGAACTGAAGTATAACATTTTGGGAAATTGCCAAAAGAAATCGCAATACGAGAAGCGACCCAGTATTTCACACGCGTCTGTCAGTTGGTTAACACATGGTGGGATGTAGTTGAAGAAGAAGAAGAAATTGCCGTTACGTATTTCCACATGTGTGGGATAAGTAGCCTGTTCTGTGTGGTGTTGAAGATGAAACAGTTTTCGAATATTTTGAGAGTGAAATCACACATATTTACAATTCGAGGATTCCGAAAGAAACGAATATATAAGCTATTTATATTTTGATATTATTAACTTTTTCATAATGATTTAAATTTTATATTTACCTATCAATAATCCCCCCATCCGAAAAATAGTACGATAGGCAATAATGGGTTATGATTAGAACTCTATAATCAATTTCGGATTTTTAGAAGCCTATAATAATTTCTTTTTAATATCACATCACTTCAGGGCGTAGGCGATGGTAACCCTCCATAGATTCGTCTTTATTATCTGTGAATTGCTAGGCATTTTTAAGAAATATAGGATCAAACTCACTACTCAGAAGTAATGATCAAATAGACTAGCCTGCTAACACTGAGGTGCCCACCTGAAGTAGTTCTTGCTTGCTATCGCTATAATGAGCGATTGGCTCATTTGAATGATGCATTGGAAGATAAAATTGTTTTTTTTTTTCAGGGTAAGGAATTTGGCTGATAGTTTTGGAGGCACAAAAACGCCCATCCTCAACTTCAAATGCGGCACAGCAAAAGATTAGTCCGAGTAGGAAGTTCTACATGCATCATATTCTCCAGGCCTGTTGCTTTCAAACTATCACTTGTCTTGCTCCATGGAAACACTCCCTGTCTGACAAAAGATACGTAAATATTTCTCGAAGAAATCATCGAATCAAAACCAGCATAATTCTTTTGCGATGGAGTACACAATGTGGCTGAAAGGTGGCGTAATGTCATAGAAAGTCAAGGGGAAATGCTTTCATAATTGAATAATGGTAAGTGTAATATTAACCGTTTTCTTATAAGGAAACATTCGGCATTCATTGACCAAACATCCAATACTACTCGAGTTACACTTTTCTTTATTACCTGGCCATCGGGCTGGAATCAAAGTGTAGTATTTAGTCTTTTCTTCTCTAATGGTAACATTAGCCATTTCCTTATGAGGAAATATTCGGCATTCATTGACCGAACAGCCAGAATTATAATTTTCTTCATTTCCTGGCCATCGGACTGGGATCAAAGTGTAGTATTTATCTGGTAATATTCTCCATTCTCCATTCATTGACAGAACAGCCAGTGATCGAGTTATAATTTTCCATTTCTTCGGACTGGGATCAAAGTGTAGTATCTGTTCTCCATTTTCTAATGATAATAAATCCATTTCTATACGAAACCATTCGGCATTCATTGACCGAACAGCCAGTGGTACTCGATTTTTACTCTGGCCATTAAACTAGGATCAAAGTGTAGTATCTGTTCTCCCATCTCCTCTAATGGTACTGGGAATATTTAACCGTTTCCTTATATGGCAATATTCAGCATTCATTGACTGAACAGTCAGTATTACTGTTGGTTGAAATTTATAAAATTTTTCTCTTAAAACAATTTTTCAGGAAAATAAGTTTTTCAAGTCCATTAACTTTTATCACTCTTTCGAGTATTGATGGGGATTTCCTTCCAAGCCTTTTGTTTACGGTAGTGTGGAATATCAACATCTAGAGCATGTCATTATTTTCTCTTTGATTTACATGTGATATCCGTTTTCGTTGTTGCTGCTGTCGAAAGTCCTCAATTGATGTACTTTTTGTTATTTGGTAGAGTTTTTTTTGTGATTGTGTAGCACCAGTGTATGAGGTTCGAAGAAAGATGGCCCTTTGTCAGATGACGAATTCTTAGGAATATATGATTCTTTCAAGACATAAAATACCAAGAACTTTGTTTCTTATATTAAACATTTGAATTCTTTTGCGATTTTTTTCATGAATTGTATGTTAAATATTTCAGCGCGTATTAAGATTAGTTAGAGGTCATGAAATATGCTAAATAACTTATAAACTTTGATATAGAAAAGTAATTATATTATATTGGTAAGTTGCCTCCGGGTACGATTTTCTTTGTCTCACTGATGTAAAAATCAGTTTTCTTCACCTCAAAATCAAGTGAACACATATTCTGCCATCCGACGTCTTTCGCCATATTGCCTATTGCTTTCGATGTATTCATACGTTCAATCCGTTATTCGGTTGAAACTGATGTTTTCTTTTGTTTTCCATATATCATGACCACTTTGCTTAAAGTTGGCATATTTCTTTTTCAATTGTAAATGAAAATTGGAAAATTTCCGACATATTTTAGTGAAGTTTTCACTTTCCAAAATTATAGTCAATAGTTTAGATATAGGGGAAAAAAGTGTTACTTTTAACTGGAGCCAGAACTGACGCATTATTTGTCGATGTATTGTAACAATTTTGCTTAACCTTCGTATTTACTTGATTTCAAACAAAAACTTGGAAATATTTCAAGATATTACAGCGAAATTTTCACTTTCGAAAATTATAGTTTATAATTATAGTCTAGATATATGGGAAAAAAGAAAACGTCAATTTTCATGAGATTGTCAGGAGATTATAGAAATAGTTATGGCAACATAGGTGTTCTCATTTTTCTCAATTTTTGCTACCTTGGTATCAAGAGATGTTTCTGGTTAAAAAAAAAATGAAAAGAAAGATAGAAAAATAACTATTGCAATACTTAAATGCGTCACATGGAATTAAGTAGATAGATAGATATATAGGTATAAACAAATGATCTACTCTCAATCAATAATGAACAGATAGATAGATAGATAGATAGATAGATAGATAGATAGATAGATAGATAGGGACTGAATAGATAGACAGGAAGATAGATAGACAGACAGATATGAATAGACTGAAGGCATAGATAGATAGATAGATAGATAGATAGATAGATAGATATAAAGAAATGCTCCACTCAATAATTAACATACATATATATATATATATATATATATATATATATATATATATATATATATATATATATATATGCATGTATAGAGAGAGAGAGAGAGAGAGAGAGTGTGAATACTGACATAATACTATCGATGCTTTAATTAAATTTACTACTTGTAATTATTATATAAGACTAATAATAGTTTATTTTGCTTTACTAACATCTATTATCACTATTTGCATTGTTCGGACTGTTGTCCTCATCTTTATTGCCATATTCACAACGTTTCGGCCGTTGTACGTTCCAGCTTTCTTCAGGTGATATTTGTTGGAATTTAGAACCAAACGCTTTATTCAGTTCAAGGGAGTAGATTGTTCTAATTCTAATAACATCTATTAAACTATAAAGAGTATCGTTAATGTATATACTCTGCACTGGCTTTTTTTTTCATTTTTCTATGCTTTCTTTCCTCATTATTCGCCTTAGAAATTTCTTCATGATAAGTATAAGTGTCTTTTTTTTCTGACGGTGTTTATTATTGTAAATTAACATGTTTACTTACACGCCTTTTGCCTCCCCAATGAGGATATAAATACATTTTATGGTTTTATTTCAGACAATATAAATGGCTACAAAAACGTAGTTTTCGCAATATTATATTTTTACTTAGATTTGTCGAGCTGTTTTTTTTTTTTGGTAAGAAATGAAAAACGAAAAACTAACATAATACCTAGGCTTTATGCATTTAAGCGCAGTACTAGATTGGCGACATCATTTTACAATTGAAATGGCTAGATGGAACCGTAAGTTCTATACTAACAGTTTCTTCTATCGCACTTCTCGCATGTGGAACTTTCTTCCGACTTTTTGGTTCCCAGTTAACTTTTATCCTCAAAAGTTTAAATGCAATATCAATCGTTGTATTCCGTCTTCTTAATTCATGTTCTTTTATTGTTCTCTCTCCTTAATAGTATTTCTCTCGTATTCTCTAGCACTCAATAACCCTTGTATATTAGTGACTTTATTCCCTTACTTGGGGTGAAATTATGAAAACCAAAACGTCTGTCAATAATGCAATGTCAATCGACATCTCCAGATGACGTGATCTATTCCCCGTCCATCTCTTCATCCTTTCCTCTATCACGCGTCTTTATTCTTGCTCCCACTCTCTGTAACCCCTTGCGTGATAGTGACGCTCCCGCCTTGCTTGAAGTGAAATTCTTAAAAAACAAACAAACAAAAAAAACACCCCCCCTAAAAAAAATTGAGAAAAAATTAACTGCAAATCGCCAACGTATTAACTAACGGTGAAACAAGCAGAAATTTAATATTACGTTATATAAGCTAGCTCGGGTACCATGCAACCCAGTGTAACCTGTCACATGGAGAGATGGTGGCCACAGCCATTCGCATTAATTCTATTTTTTTTAACTCCGCAGATTAAACATGGTTTTGTTAAAAAAAGAAAGAAGCGATTTCTTTTCCTGTGGGTATCTTAAAGGAGAAGATGTACTCAATGAAAAATCATAGATGCAACACATTTGATTGTACGCCTAAAGAGTGAATGTACTTAAATTGGCGGCAAAATGGAGTTATTGCATCGAGTTCATGTGAATCATGCAAAAGCGAATCAACCTTTGCATCACAAATGATGGAAATCATATTGAAGAAGCTATTTATTAATATGTTGCTGAAAATTTCATTTCTTGAAAATATGCATTTTTGCCTATGTATCTAGATTTGGGGACAACCTGTCTGTTAATGATCTGCCTAAGAACCTACTTTGATCTTGAGTGTATATCCATGCGGATGACACAACAGTTTATAGATGCAGCACCTACCCCACCGAAATCTGGTGGACCAGAACATTGTAGCTGACCTGGCCCTTGTGGCTCAAAAGGAGAAGGGTTGGCTTATAAAATTCAATATGTCCAAAACCAAACTAGAAACGTTGCCCCATCACCAAGCAGACACTGAACTTTCGACTATTATGATGGATGGGCGTTCCCTCGATGAGGCTCCTTACATTGAATTTCTGTTGGGACTCAAGTTCTCCTTAGACTTCAAGTGGAATTGATATATGTGATTTATTGTTAAAGATGCTGGAAAAATGGTCGGTTCGTTATATCGCTCCAGGAAGTATTTGACTCCTACGAGACTATATCTTTACAAGATAAGTTATCAGTCCAAAAATGGAGTATTACTGCCCTACCTGGGCTGGATCTTGCCTGCCTTCATATAGTTCAAAATCGTCAACTATTTTCCACCCCACAACTCCTTTCTC